TACAAAAAGGCATGCTAGCAGGCAACCTCACAATAACCATCATTCTTCTCATAGGAGCATTTGTCACGCGTTAGTTTTCCATTTTTACTTCTTTAGTATCCCTCTTCTTTTTTTCATTTGCTCTAATCTTTTTTCTTATGATTTGAGATGATGATTAAGACGTTATGAGTAATGATAATGTATGTTGATGATGTCTAGGGTTAAATTCTAATAATATCAATTATGGTATCCATGTAACAACGTTATCATTGTCAATGATGATATCAGCGATATGGTTTAGATGAACATTTTTATCATCTTCGTCAATTTTTTCAAGACATTTCTCATTACAAGTTAAGGGGACCTTGTTACATATCAACAACACATCGTCACATTGTAATAATAACACATCATCACATTGTAACAACAACACATTGTCGCATTGTAACAACAACAACACATCGTCACATTGTAACAACAACACCACATCATCACATTGTAACAACAACACCACATCATCACATTGTAACAACAACACATCGTCACATTGTAACAACAACACATCTTCACATTGTAACAACAACTTATCATCAGATTGTAACAACAACACGTCGTCACATTGTAACAACAACACATCATCACATTGTAACAACAACACATCTTCACATTGTAACAACAACACATCGTCATATTGTAACAACAACACATCATCATCACATTGTAACAACAACACATCATTACATATCACATCATTTCATCATCACCCTTAATCCTTGCAGTATTGATCAAGTCGAATTTGAAGCGCCAGGAAGCTTATGCACAAGTGGATATCAATCATTTGAATGTTTTAATTTGAAATTCCTAATATTTTCTGTTTTTACAATTAATTATGTTTAATTGATTAATTAATTGTTTTTTTGTTGTTTGTTTATTAACCGATTTATTTATAGTTAAATTTTTGGTTAATTATTTTTATAACGCATCAGTCATTATCAGTTAAGGTATTTTCAAGTTTAATTCTCAACTAAATGTAAGATCTGTACATATAACTTCAGATGTATACATATACACATGCACGGATTATAGTCACTACGTCATAATCTGATCTGGATTGAAGTTTTGTTGTGTGTGTGTATGTGTGTGTGTGGTTTGTGTGCGTGCGTGTGTGTATGCGTGGTGTAGTTAAGTGTGTTCTTTACTATGTGAAAAGTTAGCCGAGATATATTTATTTTGTTGGTTTTCAAATCAGGTTACAAAAGTGAATCACACTGTCAGTTGTTTTATTAACACCACAGTTTTCTTATGTGTTGTGTCGTCTAGTTTCTCTCATATATTACATCTTCTCGTCAGTTTCCATTTGCATCTCCCACATGTTATTTTCTTCTTTGTTGCATTTTATATTTTTTGTTTTTTTTTATTTGTTTTTTTTTCAAGTTTCACAATATTTTTAATTGTGAATTGTGTGTATGTGTATGTGTACGCGCGTGTGTGTGACACATGGCTCAGTAAGGTTCGTAAGCAAGTAATGTGATATTCATGTCAGCACATCTAAATGTATAAACAATTAAATGTACATTTTTTTCATCTATTTTCAACTCATTGTTGTTTATTCATTTGTCTGTTCATTTGTTTATTCATTTAATTGTTTGTTTGTTTATTTATTTATAATTTGTTTATTTATTAGTTTTGATTTAATATATCTTTTCATATAAAAAATAGATGGCCATCAGATGAAATGGTTTGTATTGAAATTTTCATTCGAATTATTTCTCCGGATGTGGCTATATTATTTCAAAAAATGCTAATTTTCTGCAAGTTAAATTACTTGAAATTCCGAAATCATTGAATTAAACAAACAAGGCAGTGAAGTTTCATTAAAACTAAAGGCTGTGGATAAATTTGGTTCTATGTTCGTTTATTTTTTTTCTTGTCTTATTCTTTGGTTCGATTCAGTGTTTTCTTTAGTTTGTTTTAAACATTTGTTCTAATAAAATTAACTAATTAACTAACTAGCTAACTAACTAACTAACTAATTAACTAATTAGCTAACTAACTAACTAGCTAATTGACAAACGTATGAATGCACTGAAATGTCGCTAACATTCTCTCTCTTTCTTACTCTCTCTCTTTCTAGCGATCAGAAACGTTTGAGGCATTAGTATCGGCTGCTGTTGCTGTTGAAAGTGAGATAAATTTTCTTCTGTCTGCCTGCTTTGTTGCTGTTGTGTTGAGTAGTTTATCGCAACGGTAGTTAAGGATTTAATTCACGTGAATATTTTGTATACATACAAATATATATTTATTTATATATATATATATTCATTTTTTACAGATTCAATATATTTTATCAAAACAATTGGATGTAGTGTTTTTTCAATTGCAAATATTTTAACATTTCATTAATAATAATAATATTTTTTTTCATTCTTCACCTAACGCAGCTGTCTAGTACGATGCTGATTGCAAGGTCGGTTTCCACAGATCCTTGATCTCTTATTGCTAACATATTAACATAGATACATACGTACATGCATACATACACACATACATACACACATACATTACATACACACACATACATACAAATACATACAGATTTATTTCACTCCTTTTTAATAGTATTAGAACCGGCTTGTTGATTTAGGACTTTTGTGTATTTTTTCGTTCGTTTTTCTCATTCATTCGTCGCTTATTTATTCATCAATCAATCCATCCATTCATTTATTTATTGATTCATTCAACTAATTATTCATTCAGTCATTCATTTTTTTTCTTAGCTATTTGTAACCCTTTCTTATCCTACTATTCATTTGAATGAATGAATTCATGAATTCATGAATTTATGAATTGGGTTCCAAGATAGTTTTGTTTAATTTATTTAATTAGCTCTCAGTTGATTTATTTGATTGTCTAATGTCCAATATATATAAATCATTCTATTCAAACGAATGTGTACATACACATACAAACACACCACACACACACACTTGTGCTTATTTAATGCATGCTTGCTTAACTAACATGCATGTCCCATATTTTATCATCATTATCGTTGTTATTATTATTTCTACTACTAATATTATTATTATTACTATTATTTTTATTATTTTGGCAATATTATTTGTGAATTAAAGCTTTCAAAAAGAGAGGTTTATAAAAGTATCTTGATTAACCATGTTCATAATCAGTTTTGTTAGCATGGGACTCCATCTATCTATCTATTCATTCATCCATCTATCCATTTATCCATCTAACCATCATATCATTCATCCATCCATTCATTCATTCATCCATCCATCCAATCATAGGATGCATGTTAAAAGTTTTTTTTTCACTTCTTTCCTCCTCTTAGTTTTTGAAACCTGGCATCAACTTTTTAGTTCGGGGAACATTAGTCTGAAAGGAAGTGCTATTGTAACGAATGCTATAATTGTTACCAGTTATTATTATTATTATTATTATCATCATCATTTTTGTTATAACGGTTGTTATTATCGTTTTTTTTAATAAAAAAATTGTTTTTCTATTGGTTATCGTTGATACAATTAATCTTGTTAAGTTGACAAAATTGCTGTTCTCACTATTTTTACCTTCATACATGTGTTTGTTTGTTTGTGTGTGTGTGTGTGCGTGCTTTTGTTTGTGTGTCTGTGTGTTTGTGTGTGTGCGAGAAAAAGAGATGAGTTTAATTAAATAAAATAATTTCGTATTAGATTTATTATCATGATGATTGTTCATTGATTTATAGATTGATTGATTGTCGGATTGATTAACTGGTTGGTTATTTGTTTGATTTTGTCAATACATTCCTTTTTCATATCAATTTTATGTATACAATATTATATATATATTATATATATATATATATATATATATATATATATATATATACAACAATATTATAAATATTATTCTCATATATTATTTCTTTTTATTAAAACTTTAAAACTTAGCCAATACCGATTTTAATTCTTAGTTCTTTTTACATGTAGAAATATTTCAACTTCTATAGAAGACATTTTAATCATTTTTATACATAGGACGTTCGTACTAACATGCTATCATACATGCACGTACACACACGGTTCAAACACACACACACATAGATACACACACACATATACACATTAGTTATGTTAGTGAAATAATTAATATGAGGCGATTTGTACAATATTGTATATTGCTATATAATTTATTATTATTTATCACTATTGATAATCTTTTCAAACGTTATATCGTTATTTTAGTGATAGTCACGTTTCACAGCCAAATTTTATACCATTTAAAGTAAAGAAGAAAATTGAGATTAATTTTATTTAACCTGGTTGTTAACGTAAGAGCCATAACGAAATACATATAGGTAGGTGTGTTGATTGAGTCTGCGCTATGCTTTCTTACGTTTTGTTGTAATAATGTCTGCTAATATGATTTGTTATGATAATGGTTGTTATTCTCTTTAATTCATTCAAGTTACTCCGATGAGATTGATGTCGGTGTTTGTTGATTGGTATTTGTTGTTAATGTTGCATCGTTTTTAATGCGTAGTTCGTTTGCGAGTCAACAGACCTTCGTGTGTATATTCTGCGGTAAAATATATGAAAGTTTGTTGCACATCTTGTTTCTTAAACGCTGTACAATTTGTTATAAATGCATGTTGACGTTGTTCGCGGTTTGTTTATCTCTATTGCGTCTTGTGCTGCTACGTTTTAATTTCAAATTTGTTGAACTTTCTACTAATATTATTTATGTTGACGAGTGTTGTTGTGCCTCGAGTTTTCATTCATTTGTCAGATTTTCAAAATTGGCTTGCAACCGCCGAATATTTTGTTTCATATACGAGCCCACGTGATGCACACGGATACACGAAGAACACACTACACAGCAAACACACTCACACATACCTACACACACATGAATATATATATATATATGTACATAAATTATTTGTTTATATGGGTATGTAATATGCATGTGTTTTGTGCCTTTGAAGTTTGTTTTTTGTTTATATTTTATTTTTGTAATCAGTAATCATCATGGATATATATAATATATCCATGGTAATCATATTAAATTTGACGGTTTTCATTTTATATTTGTTGTGATAAATTGGCACAAAGTACGCGGTTGCGTCGCAGGCAGGTACTATAAAATTTCATTTAACCCGGTTGCGCGTGTGATTTTTAATTTTTTGATCTTCCATTTGAACGAACTAAATTGAAGTGAGCCCATTATTCAGTTAATGGCATCAAATGCTTCTTAGAAGCAAAGTACTCTCCAGTTAAATAGATACTGAACGTAAATTGAATCATATTTGCATCCAATTAGGCACGAATCATCAAAAGTTCGACCACTAACGAAAAGTTTTAGAGAACTATTTCATTTTTGAAATGTGATGCCTTTGCAATGCTAGATCTGGTTTCGCACTTGCAAAAAATTGATGACAGATCCAGATGCTAAAAATATTTAGCTAACCGGAAAATTTAGAAAGACTAGAATGACGATGTATGTTGACAAAGCGACGGATTTGAAGTTTAGTAGATTTTACGTTGCCCGGTTTTTGAGACGATTGAAAAAAGTGCAAGCATGTATGAAGGATAACGGGCAGGCGACCCGAGATTTCTCTTGTAGGTACGCCATGTAACTGATTTGGTTTCAATAAAATAAAATTATTTCATTTTATATGGCAAATTTATAGTTTCCAATTATGAAAAACTAACAGCTCAATCACTTTCTAATTCAATTAGAATTGTTATACTTTATGTAAAATTCGTCCGTTATGATTAAAGTAGCAGTCGATTGACAAAATGATGGGTGTCAAAAGACTTCAGAGCTGAACAACGATTGAATTGTGTTGAAAATTTTCAAATTATAGCCTAAAATGTGTATTTTAAAAGTTTTTTAACTACACTGACCAAAGCTTATTCTCATACACATAATAATATTTAGTCAATTATTCTAAATGTGTATTCTTTAATGTATGTATGATGCGGTCAGCTGATAAATGTTAAAAATTCATCTCCAAATTAAAACTAAGTTTACTTTTAAATATTCTTTATATTGATTCTCCTGGATCCAATCGATAAATGTTGCAGGTTTTTTTGTGAAACACTTCAACCGAGATTGTCTGATTGACGAGAACAAATTTATTTTTTATTCGATATTACTATTCGAAATTTAATCACCATTTTCTTGTTTGATCAGTTTGATGTCTTGTTCTAAAATTTACTAACATGTCCAACTCATCTGATGATCAACAAGCTAATGCTGCTGTTTCATCATCAGCTGAAGAGAATATTTATTGCAAGGAATCCAATTTTGAAATTGAAAGGAAGATTGGGAAGGGCCAATTTAGTGTTGTGTATCGGGCAAGATGTCTCATTAATAATCAGATTGTTGCGCTCAAGAAAGTTCAAGTCAGTTGAGTTTTGTAATAAAGAAGTAGCAAATCAATAATAATATAGATTTACAAATGTTAAAAACTTTTTAGCATAATTTTAAATGTTTTTCAAGTTTTATATTTCAAGCTATCCATATTTTGTTAATTTTATAATTTGTTTTAAAATATATGTCAAAATTTATTCACAATTTTTGTACTTTTTCACGATACCTTTTTGTAATTTTTTTAGATATTTGAAATGATGGATGCAAAAGCAAGGCAAGATTGTATAAAAGAAATAGATTTATTGAAGCACCTTGATCATCCAAATGTTATACGATACCTGGCATCATTTGTGGGTGACAATGAATTGAATATTGTTCTAGAATTGGCAGATGCCGGTGATCTTTCTAGAATGATAAAGGTTGGAGTTTTATCAGTTTACAGTTGTAAAACCTTTTGGATATGTTGTAAATTTTTTTGGATATGTTGTAATATTTCTTGTAAAACCTGTATCAACATTATTGGTATTATTGTTTACTGTAAAGATTGTAATTAGAATTAATTTTTATTAATTGTTACCACACACATATGATGATCAGCACTTCAAGAAGCAAGACAAAATAATTCCAGAGAAGACAATATGGAAGTATTTTACTCAGATTTGTAGTGCGCTTGATCACATGCATTCTAAGAGAATCATGCACAGAGGTAATTTTTATATTCCTTCTGAAAATAACATTTCATCTATTCTGTGAATGATTTAATAAAATTTTATTAAATTAAAGAAATTTTGACATTTTGTATTTAATTATTTATTAATTATTTAATTATGACATTAAATTATTTTTTTTCCAGACATAAAGCCTGCCAACGTTTTCATAACAGCAGAAGGTATTGTGAAGTTAGGAGATCTTGGACTAGGCAGGTTCTTCAGCTCTAAATCCAATGCGGCACATTCTTTGGGTTGGTTGGGAGTTTTTTTTATAATTATTAAATAATGTTTAATAATTAGTATATTAAATTATCTAATTGTTAGGTAATAATTTAAAAAGCTGTCATATCAATCTTAAAAGTTGACTTGTTCATTAATATTTTGTTTAAAATTCATCATGTGTTTTATTTTTCACTTGAAATCAAGTTGGCACTCCCTATTACATGTCCCCTGAACGTATCCACGAGAATGGTTACAACCTGAAGTCTGATATTTGGTCACTTGGATGTCTACTTTACGAAGTGAGTGGGTCTTGAGAATTTTTAACTTCCCATTTTCTAGCTCTTAGCCTAAAACATGACATTAAAAAATAAAGTGGCTAGTTTTTTAACGAATATTGATTTTTCATCATTGCACCTTCTTGCATTTAAATTTCATTTATAATATTTATTATTTTGTGAACAGATGGCAGCTTTGCAGTCGCCATTTTATGGAGAGAAAATGAATTTGTACTCATTGTGCAAGAAGATCGAGCAGTGTGACTACCCGCCTCTTCCTTCCGACAACTATTCTCTAGAAGTCATTTCGTCATTTTGTTCTTTCATTGGCTTTTTTAATTTTCTGTCAACTAATTAATTGTTTTAAGTTCAATTTTAAAACAGTTTAGTAATCAGATTGCTAATTAATGGTACAATCTCCTTGACAGCTAAGCAACCTGATAGACTCCTGCATAAACTCCGACCCAGAGAAAAGACCAGACATCAGTTACGTGTATGAGGTGACAAAAAAGTTGTACAACAAGAGTTGAATGTGTATCTATGTATCCATGTATCAAATATCCATCCACGTATATCTTGCTTTGTGTATCTTTTTGTTGCATGTTATCACTATCAAAATCTGTAGTGGTTTTTTTTCTCTTGATGTTTTGTTATATCACTAATCAAATTTTTGCACAAAACTTTTATTCATTTTATACGCCACTATATTTGCTTCAACTCAGTATATTTATTAACTATAGGTTAGTGGTAGAGAACGAACTTGATGTTTGTTTGATTTTTGATAAATTTGTTTTTTCTCAAAGTATCGATTCAAGATAGTCCATTATATTATAGGATATTATTTATGAAATATGAAAATCTACTGCATACAAAAATGTATTTTCTATCATTTTAATTAGCTGTGATGAGTCCTTTTGGCTGATAAAGTAGCTTATATTTTTATCTTTTTTTTCTTTTCATGCCAAACATGTTTTAATCAGCTTGATTTAAAGATTATATTAATAAATTAATAATTAATAATGATTAATTCTGCTAATTTTTAGATGTTATATATAGTTGCCTTAGAATATTTTGTGGAATTTTTTAAAATGCCGTTTATTTATTTATTCAAAGAAATAATCATAAGTTAATGACATTTTAATTGTATCGCTAAAATATTTCATTTATTTCAGTTAACATTTTTCAAATCATGAACGAAATAAGCTTGAATGAATCGATGTAGAGATTATTGTAACACTACAATAATCATTTTATACATTGAACAGTTTTTATTTTAAAATTATTTTACATATGCATCACTGTGTATGTACACGAAATCTTGTTAATAAAAATAATAATCTATCTTTATATACACACGCGCGTATTTATGTATACAATACAAACGTGTATGTATATATGAATTATTAAATGAATTAAATAGATACATACATAAATTTGTTTTTTGACGAATCTAACGCCTTTATGTGTCTAATTAAACATAACTGAAAATAAAACTTTGTAATTTTCAAAATAATAATTCGAATGGTGAAGGAGCAAATTAGAGTAATTAGATAGCTGAGTGCGGAAGAGCAGATAAATAAATGGACTCAGTCCTCTTGGAAAAGTATGTTATCCTTAGTCTCGCCTTCCTCCATAGGATGTCTAAATCTTTCGAGATCCTTCTTATCCACGTTGATGTCATCAAATGCGTTGCCAGTAAAGTCAAAATTATCTCCCGAACTTATTGGGTAATCTTTTTCATTCCAGGCCCCTATATTTCAATTATTTAAAAATTATTTTAACTTTTTACAAATTTAAACTTTATTTCATTCTGCGTACCTTTCCCGTGTTTCTTCCTTTCTTCCACTGGAGTGCCAATGACGACGGGAATCTTTGCCTCGGCACAATCGCCATCATCAAATTCTAGCCTGAAATGTAACATGTACTCGATATCTATCAAGACACATCCATCCAACCTCGACTCCGGAATGAATGGTGGCACAGGGAGTCTGAAATCTGTCCAGGTTCGTTCGGCTCCGTAGTCAATCTGTGTTTACCAAAGTTGAATGTTAGAAAATTTTATACAATGATGATATAAAAAATTATTCTGTTTACCGGGAGACTGTCGACTTTTTTGTTAACAATCTGATTGTTTTGCTGACTTCGATTTTTAGCATGAAAGTAACTGTTTAAGAATAGGATAGCCTGTGCAGCTATAATACTGCTGGGATAATCATTATTAATTTGAGCGTTGATCAAGATGTCCTCACCCGGCAAGAACCCAGTCTTGTAAACTTGAAATTCAGCTTCCAATTTTCCTTTATTGCAAAACAAAAAACTGCACGTCGATGACTTGGTCAAGCGAACGTGCTTGGGTCGAAATAGTTCAGGATATTTCTTGAGGTCATGCTGACGCAGGACAAGAAAGGGTTCACTCGTTATGTTCGATCCGATACTGACTTGATTCTCGAAACCTTGCTTTACTGTCGCCTTTATAACATAAGTGATGCTACCGAGTTTTCCGATAAATGATGAGGGTAAGTTTGTCGGTAGAACGTAATTGAGAGGGAAACTATGATTTCCTCGTGGAAGCGTTGTTGGTTTCTGTTCATCGAACACAGATACAATGTCATCAACGTATATCTCGGACGCTCGCAACGAAGTTTCTGGTGATTTATTAGCATCTTCGTCATCAAGACCTACCATAGCCTCGCCTCTTATTTGAACTTTTATAGATTTAATAAACAAATCTTCTCCCAGCACCAAAACAATGTTTCCGGAAAGTGGCTCACCGGGTTCGTACTGATACTTCTCATCGATATCATGGTCCAGGTGGATCTCAAACTTTTTTATCGCATTTGACATTTTCAGATTTAAAACGATTAAGATGTTATTGAAAACACGTCAAAATAAAAATTTCTGATGAGCTCTAATAAACGCGTTACTAAAATATATTTGTTAAATTTTAATCTATATTTTTGTTAAATATAATTCAAGTTTCGATTATTTAAAGCATATTTTAAATTTATTTGAAAAGTTTTTAAACTTTTTATGTTCAACGCTGATTAAATTACCACACCAATGCGGTGTGACTTAAAATTTGCTGTATAGATAGCAATCAAGCAGCTAAACAATGAACCGTACACTGGCTAGGTCTGCACACTAAAACAATACTTATCTTCTATGTACCACGCTAACACACACGTAGTTCGTGACAAATGCATACTTATATACTAATCTACTACAGCTAACACCGCGAGCCTCTTGTTTCGTTATTTGGCTACTTTTGCTGTTTATTTTTTCATATAGAAACTCCATAATCCAGTTTTTTAATGTTTTTATTTTTAGTATATACGCGTTCATCGTAGCCACATTGTGTTTAAATGGAGTCTTAAAAAATGAGTATTAATAACCAAAAATTACATGTTATAAAATTTGATCTTATTTTCTAATGTCCAACAAAATCCATCATCTTGCAAGCAGTTGATCCTTCCAGATAGTGACGACCGCTGCTGACTTTCCACATGCGAATCAGTAAGGAGCGAGGAAGCACTTGACCCTCTTCTTGCAGCTGCGCCTCGACTTTCTGGCCTCTTTCCTGCCCTTCCTGCCCTTGCATGACTTGCTCCTGCTCCTCCTGCCTCGAGATCGGCTTCGACTTATTTCCGCGGCTGCCAACTTTCTCTCTTCCTTCGTATCAAAATTATCATAATTTATGATTAACAATTGTTGCTTCAAATTTAAAACGATTTTTCAGTGATTGAATATGCTAACTTCTGGATTCATTGTTATTCAAAACTGAATGCAGTTAGCGTTTGTGATATAAATATTTTCGAAATTGAAATGTTTGACAAATTAGCGTTGGGTTGTAAGAAAACTTCCTAATAGAAAAATTCCGCTGGTATGGGCACTCAGAAATGGAAAAATACTTGCTATTAGACGATAGAAATGTAAACAAATAATATTACGACATTGAAAGATGATGCATCATCCAAAATATAACAAAGGTAAAAGATAAATAAACTGATTTTTATTTCGTGTTGTCGTCGAAACTGGAGGGTTTGAAAAATATTGAAAATAAACAATTTAAATCAAATATTTATACAGAAAGCATAAAAATAGAGAGTAGAAATGAACTAACAAGCCATAAAATTATACAATAAAGATAATAAATTTTTTTTCGTATCTATGTCGCGTGCGTAATAATTTAACTTAATGACGCAATGCATCATTACTGAACAACAACACATTAGAAAATTTACTTTTCTTGAAATCTTTAAAACAATCAACATTATTAATAATCAAACAACGATAATAATACTAACATTGAACGACACCAAATAAACCATAATGGCCGATGAAAGAACAGCGGACGAAGAGTTGAGGAAATCTGCCGACCCAGCAAGCAGAGGAAGAAGAAGGAGGTCACGCAGTTGCGTGACCGGTAAGGCGAAGAAGTTCAAGAGAAGCAGCAAATGCAGAAGACGCAAACGCCAGCGTTACCTTTTGCTTTGAAAATGGGCTCTGGGATGAGTTCAGTCCTGATTGAAGTGCTGTAACTGGTTATTGAGTCTATTGGTTATTGCAGCGACAGCTGGCAAGAAACAAAATTGAGAAATAGTGCTTTTTTTAAATAATCAGGTCTGACATTATTTTCATGGCTGGTTTTTCTGTCATCATATTACATTATGAACATAAAATGATAAAAATTGATTATTTGTGGAAATTGATTAACTAAAAAATCAATTGAAACCATAATTCGTTTGATGACTTTTATTTCAAAAATTCAAAACTAACAAATTGAATTAGAAAAAGTACAAAAAATGCAAGATTCGATTTTGCATTGAAACGAATAATCTCGTAGACACTTAGTTTCAAGTTGTTGGACCCAAATATTTGAGACACCAAGTATTTAGATGGATTGAGAGTTGTTATATTGCTAAAGTTTTAAGGACTGGCCGGTGCAAAACTAATAAGTTTTCGATGAATTTGCAAACGTGCCTTAAAATCTATCCGAACCTGAGTAAAAACGTACAAAATGATGAATAAAATAATTTAAATGGAAGAAATTGTGAATTTTCAAAAGTTTGAGAAGAAAAACTTGTACAATTTTCACGACGTTTAAAAAAATTATACATGCACATTTTGAGTTGAGAAAATATCAATAATGAAATAAAAACAAATGCAAATAAGTCCATTATTTTTCAACGTTCGATTGTTCGTAAATGTTTTAATGCATTCCTTCATCGTTTCGCATCATGAAAAAGAGTTTAAAAATGCAATTACAAATGAATAATAAATCAATCAGCTGAGAACTTCAACATCTGTTTCCCGACTTTCCAGTTTCCCGCGTAATCAACTTTCTCAATTTCTTCTCAACATCAACAGACCACTTGACAGCTTTACTCTCCTGGTCCAAAATGATGGTAGGCTTGTTTCGGTTGTTTCGTTTCATTTCGTATCTTTCATTTGGTCTCTCGCTACTCCGACCAATAAGTAGGTACATCATTCCCCTCTTCAGTTTCTTGCAGCTGCACGATGGAGGCGATGCTAACCACAAAACCCCATCCAAGTTGGATCGCTGAACTTTTTGCTTGCTTCCATTGCTGACTGCAGCTACTGATGACGACGATGACGATGAAGAAAGTAGGGACAGCGAGTTTGGTAGCTTCTTGAAAACTTTCAAAATTTTAACGCCATACTTGGAAAATTTTTTGTGCACTTTGCGTGACTGCACATGAATTACAAGAACTGTAAACAAAAATTTAAAAGTTTTGTTGCAAATTTTAATGATAGTAACAAAAATTATTCTTTTATATTCAAGAATTTTCATTAAAAAACAGGAGCAATTTAAAAAATGATTTATAACTTTCGTACCAAAGTCTTTACTGCAAACTTCTTGAAGGTTTTTCAATTGAGTCCTCTGCAGGCAGGAATCGCAGTTCACTGAAACATAAAAAAATATTCACATTTATTTTTCAAACAATAAAAATGTATAATTTTTATCTCCCTGCTAAAAAATTTGTTGTAAAATAAAAAAACTACTGCCTAAAAGCAAAGCGATTAAGCCGGCGTATTCTTGAATATAAAATTGAGTTGGGAAACGATTAAAAAGCGATTGATTCATGCGCGCAAGATGCAGCAGCAGCACATGTGGACAGCTCCCAACCACCGCTACACGCATCCTCTGGCAACGTTCACGCAGATGGGAACATCAAAATATTAGTATCCTACACTTTGGGGTGGGTGTGTGCTGCCGAACGTGATTATACAGGAAAGTTTGTGGAGGATGTTTCTTATTAATCACGTACACCCAAGCACCATCACACATACACATACACACACCATATACATTCATATATTCATATGCAAAAATAATTTATATTCTTAAACGTTTTTCTACTTCAAGAATTGAATATTGTATTTTATATTTTATTGCTGTATCGTGTGTTGAATTTTGCAGGGTATATTGTATTGTATTAAATTTACTGTGTAAATAACCGAAGCGCACGTTTAAACGGATTACAAAATAAAATGAAATGTTGAACTGGATTGAGAATAAATAAAGAATAATGATATAGAGACGGCATTACATACAAACAATAGCACAAGTTGCAAGACCATAATGAACAGCTGAGGATTGTCCAATTAATGAAGAAATAAAATCAGTGATGAATGTTTGTTTCATTCAATCTTGCCGGCTGGTTGGATGGCTGGTTGGTCGGTTGGTTATTGTTGATGGAAATGAGCTGGTAGATTTTATTGATGAAATGATTGTTGAGCGATTATGACGCTAGGTTGAGAAGTTGGACTGATCAAGCAGTAAAACTCATTATTGGTTTAACAAGTTAATTTTTGGTATATTGGTAGATTAATTGAAAGAGGTTTTTAAACAAAGAAAACCCCAGAAGATGCTATCAAGAGATGAAGACACAACTTATTGTATGAAACAAAGGAACTAAGCAACAAACAGACAAACGAACGAACGAACGAACGAAAGAACGAAACAAACTTAAAAACCAGACAACGTACACAAAAACATGCTAGCGGCATTACTCGTATACAAAACGATGGCAAACAAACAAACACACATGACATGTCTTCTTAACAAGGTAAACAGAACGCACAACCCAACTCAAACACATTTCATCGAGACCACACTGGTTGTTTGAAAGACTTACAAAAGTACAGATAAACACATACATTTGTACACATATATACATACATATGTATATACATAAATACAAACACACATACAAATATACATACATGTTGGAAGGAGACCATATTTTATACAGTATTGTATGAATTCTATCGAATTGTTGGCATTAATCAATTTAAAGTTTGTCTTTTCAATTTGCCATACTAGAATTTTTTGGAAAATATTCAGTTTATTAAAAGTAGAATTATTATCAAATTATTCATGATGAACTTAGATAGAAATTCTATTTTCAATAAATTGGACAATTTCCAGAAAATTCTAGTATGGAAAATCAAAAAGACAAACTTTAAATTGATTAATGCCAACAATTCGGTAGAATTCATACAATACTGGAACAAGCAGAAGCATGAAGAGAGGAAGAGAGAGAAAGAGAGAGAGGAGAGAGAGAGGAGAGAGGAGAGAGAGAAAGAGAGAGACATAAACAGACATATTGCACGCAAACACATAACGAACTTCTTAACGTAAATAAACAAGGCACATCCAGCTGGACATTCGAAACGTGTTAAAACTATCTCGTATGAATGCATTAGAAAATATGTGTCCGCGTGTGTGTGTATGTGTGTGTGTGAATGTGTGTGTGTGTCTCTGTGTGTGTGTATGTGTGTGGAATGTATGTGCGATCAACTGAGCCCTGATTTTTGTATTTGTTTTCACACATGTTTACACCGGCAACAAATATTCGCAAACTAATTAAATATCAGCGGGGAATAGACAAAGAAAAGAAAACAAATGCATAACAAACAGAAAACCCACAAATGTATGAAGGACAGAAAATATTTTGCTAACAAAAAAAATGAAAAATAAACAAAAAAAGGACGAGAACTAGTATTTAAAGACGTTAGTAATAACACGGCCTAAACAAACTTTAAAAAAAATGTATATACAAACTTACAAACATACATACCAACTTATAAACACACATTAAAACTTACAAACAAACATACAAAAATGCATACAAACTTGCAAGCATAAAACCAACACCGGATCACACGAACGCACAAAGACATAAACAAAGCTAGACTCACGGAACATTATGTATGATAAAATTGCTAATTGGCCAAATGTTGTTTAACTATTTCAAACTTTATGTTCGTATGTATGTATGTATGTGCGAGCCCTTGGTTAAAAACAATAGCCATAAAAACTATCATTTCGCCCCTGCTCAACAGACAATATTAGTGTACAGGGTCTCGCACAGAAGGGCACTTAGCAATGTTCTCTAAAATACAAAATGAATTAAACTAAAACTAAAATGAATTAAATGTACGTAAAAAGTATGACAGCCTTGGAATGAATGCTGCCTGCGTCAACAGGACAAGGGCGTCATGCTTGCCAATCTCCGTCATCATTGACATAATATGTTTAAAATCCTCCAGCTTTTTAGCCCAAAAATTATCATGGCGTTTTCCTCTACAAACTATCGAACCCAAAAATTCTAGGTCATTCATCTCAATTCTTTTAATATTTGATTGGGCGAGAGATAAAGCTGTTGAATTTGTAGTGATTTCGCATTTTTTTAAATTCAACTTGAGACCATATTCACGACCATTACTGTTGATCAATTCCACATCATCCATTAGGTCCTTTACACATCCCCCCAACGCAATATCGTCCAAGTATGCGACAACAAATTTAGATCGAAATGCCTTTACCAGTGGNTCGATCGACAGCGAAAAGAGCAACGGTCCCAAAGGATCCCCTTGTTGCACACCTTCTGATGAAAAAATGATGCTGTTACCAAGTGACAGGAATGAATCAGCATCGTACGCCAACCAGCAAAAATTGAAAATTTCTGGGAGCCGAGATTTGACGCATTGAAGCATATGGTCACGACGAATCGAATTGAAAGCATTTGAAAAATCAAGTTTTAGAAAGCCTTCATCTTCCTTCATATTATTGACGAATCGCCTGACAGCGTGTATCGCTCCTTCTGCTCCACCGCTAATCCCGACACCGACCTGCTGAGGCTGGAGAATTGGACCCACCCTGTCCTTGATGACCAATAACGCACATTTTGCAGCCCAGCGTCTCCATACACATCCAATGGCAATAGGTCTGACACCACCATCCTTCTTTGACAAGGCCACCAATCTCCCGCCAAACAAGTATGGAACTACCTCGGGTGGACAAACGCCACTCAACAGCAGATTGATAAAACCGGTCATGGCACTGATAAGTTCTGATGTTTCTATTTTATCATGCGTTAAATCCCTTAAATGCTGTGGGGTTAGGCCATCTCTACCTCCTGAGGTTCCTTTTGGAAACTGCCTCAAGCACAACATAATTTGTTGGGGATTAACTGTAACGCTTGTCGATTCTTTGTTGGGACTTGGTTTTCTGTCTAACGGAGCGGGAGGATGTTTGTCCTTTAGGGAGTTGATAGTGTCTGTCGAATCCGGAGCCATCGTATCCGTCGATGCTAAAATCCTCATAGCATTTCTCACGTTTCCCTGTTCTATTTTGCATTTGACTAAAGCACTAAGCTTTGGTTTACGAACCCTTTCATCTTGCCCCTTTACAATTGGTTCGACAGATTTCATCAACTCTTCCAATGAGCCCTCTCCAAAAGCATCTAATCTGCTATTAATTTTTGCGCTGATGTTTTTTTTTCCTCCACCTCGAAGATCCTTTCGGAGAATCAAGCGGGGAATGAATAGCAACCTGAACCAGAGAATGGCATTTGATGGGTTATCACAGATGTTATTCAAAATATCCTTCAACATCCGGCCAAACTTACCACGTGATTGCTTGGGCACATGGTCAACTAACCGACAGCCCGATGATTTTTCAACAAATTTTTCAGCCAGTGACGATTTACTCTTCATATCGACAGCGGTATCAAGGACCCTTGAGTCTTCACTCGTCTTTGAGATGTTGGCGTTGACGACATTGAGCGACCTTCGTTTTCTGCTCGAAGGTGGGTGCTTCAAAGATCCCGGACATTCTGAGCCTTTCACTTTTCCGCCATGTCTAACGAGAGTACCATCCTGCCCCACTTTAAAATGTTTATAACACACATGGCACAGAGTGAGGGAAGTCGTGCTTGGTACATGTCCTTGACTCAACATTAAGAAACCAGCAAGGCAAACTGTTATTATATTGTAAACTGTACATAAGGCTTATAATATAAAATTATTGTAATTATTATTATTGTAAACTGTACATAAGGCATATAACATAAAAAATTGTAGAAAGACAACTTTAAAACCAAGCGCCTGTGTGCCGCTTAAATTATATTATTTAAATATAACTATATAACTTAAAATTAAAACCGGATATATAACTTAAGATTAAATACGAACATTTAATTAAAATTAATTAAAATTAAAATAAATGTGGATATATAATTTTAAATACGAATTTATTCGAATTAATAACATAAAATCTAAATCTGCCAACCTGTTCGGAGACCAATACACCAATATATGTATGTATGTATGTATGTATGTATGTATGTATGTATGTATGTATGACCAATATATGACCAACGTCTGACCAACGGAGACCAATATATGTATGTATGTATGTATGTATGTATGTATGTATGTATGTATGTATGTATGTATGTATGTATGTATGTATGTATGCATGCATGCATGC